CACGTTAATTTGAATATCTTATGTTTTTCATATCTATTGTGTTTTTTCTCTCATTTTCAATTGTGTTTAACTTGAAATTTTATTACTATCCAAACCTAATGGTGCCTATCATAGTAAAAGCAATAAATAGTTACAATCCCAAGTAGGCATGTTAGAGGCTATGACCACTTATTAGCATTACCTTGTAGTCATATGGGTGGCAAAAAGATGCTCCTTTATTGCCAAAGCAACCCATGATTGCGCTTCTGCTTTGATAAGCCAAGGCTATAGGCTTTGCTAGAGGTGGCAGTTGTTATGGTTATCGGTTGGTTGGATGCGGTACTGCCAAGGCTAAAAAGGACCTAAAGTGACCTCTTAATCTCAGACTAAGTTTGGGATGGCCTTGCATGAGCTAATTAATGATTTGTATCGAATTGAACAAGTTCACATCAAGTCAATTTCGACTAGTTTTTTATCTAAATGGAACCACCTAGTCATCGTGCTGATGTGTGTATTTTTTGTTACTTTGTCACTGTTTGCCTCCTTGTTGATTGAAAATATATATTTCAAATACATATAGGAACTATGTAATGATGCTTAGTTTAATATGAGGTGTCATTACGCCATGTCGATGCATCCACACAAACTAATATTAATTTCTCAATCTAAGTTGTTATATAAGCTCACTGCTTCATATCCCAACTTTAGAGTATATATGCTTTAAACTCCATAATAGTTAAGAAGGTGATACAAATGAATGGTTTCTGAATAACCCGGAACCTTTATTGGCATTATAAAAGCATTTAGCATTAGTACAAAGGTTATTCAACTATTGCATGTAAAAGCCAACCACAAGCTTTCTAATCTGAAATGTGTGCTGGGCTAAAGACAAATATGCATGGTTTATAAATTGCGAATTGGAAACCCGCCTCAAAGCTCATCTCAATGTGATTAGAAAAAAAAAAAGACAATGAAGCGTACACCTCACACTAACCAGATGAGGCTTACAACTCAGTTGAGGTGAGGCGCACCTCAAGGCATACTCTAACATAATTTTGAAGAGATGTAAGACTTGAAAATTATGGTTTAAGTATATTTAAAATTTAAATTTAGAAACTTTTTTATATAATTAAATATATTCACTATACATAAATCAAATCAAAATTTAAAAAAATCACAAAACCTCAAACTCTCAACCACAAACCGCAAAACCCTTACACCCATACCCAGCTCTACTATATCGCCATTGCTATTTTGTCTCCGTCTAAGGCCTCCTTTATTGATATTGGAAACTCATTTATTAGTTTTAGTATGAGAAAGAAGAGAAAACAATTAACTACAATAATGATTTTAATGGAAATCATTTAAGTAATGATAGTAAGAGAATTTTAAATTCATAAAATGTGAAATTAAACTACTTTTTTATATTGAATAGAGAGTGGGAGAGACTATTTATCTAGCATTGGTTATAATCTATGATGCACCGACACGCCTCGTAAAGAGGGTATGCAGTGTCGGACACGTGTCAGACATGGACACGGGTCGGACACGACATGGACACGTGTCCGACACAGCATTGGAGTGTCGCAATTTAAAAAATTAAAATTAAAATCGGACACGCATGTTCAGTTATTAAATGATAAAATTGTTCGTTCTATTTAGCCTTTTCCACGAACTAGAAGCCCTATTAGGGCGGACCGGGAGAGCCGACGCCAAACGGAGCCCGTTGCCTTCACCTCCCGTTCCTTCGTCATCTCTGCTTGAGTCGAGGCCAAGCAGAGCTCGTCTTTCCCATTCCATCATTCTTGATTTTTGCAGTCATCCGAGGCAAAGTTCGCAATCGAGGCCAAACAGAGCACCTTCTACGTGCAAGAGAGCCAAGACCTATAAGTGAATTTCTTCATTTCTTCTCTTCATTGTTGAAAAGCCTAATGTACATGCTCGGTACCGCTCAGTACATGCTCAGTACTGCTAGGTACATGCTCGGTACCACTCAGTACATGCTCGGTACTGCTCAATATATGCTCGGAACTACTCAGTACATGCTAGGTACTGCTTAGTACATGCTCGGTACTGCTCAATATATGCTCGGTACCACTCAGTACATGCTCGGTACTGCGCAATATATGCTCGGTACAGCTCAGTACATGCTCAGCGCTCCCCCTTGACCCTGCGACCTGACCGGGAAGGTCGAAACCTACCAGGGGCTGCGCCCCCTTGAACCCCGGCAGACCGGTATATTGTTGTATTCATGTTGTCTTATTATTAGGATATTTTGATTTCACTTCATATCAATTTAATTTAATGTATTCATATGTATGATTGGTTTGTTAGCAAAATAAGTTGTGCTGCTGATTGGAGTGGATTAGGTCAAGGTTCAAAAGAGTCATCTGTAGAAACTGATAAGCCGTTATGGATTCATGTTATAAAGTTAGAAAAACATTTGAAGGAGCAGGGAATGTGTCATTCAAATACAATTATTGTGGTGGCACCTACAAAGGATTTTATTCTAGGGTGAAGGCACATCTACTTAAAATTTCTGGCCATGAAATAAAAATGTATCCTAAGATTACTACATCGCAGTTGATTGAAATGAACAGACTAGTTGATGAAGCTGAATCTAGGATCCAAAGTACACTCCCTAAAGAGATATCTTTGCCATCTACTCATGGCTCATCCCACACTTCTTCCTTATCTGTGAGAGTTGATCAAGTTTTATCATTTAGAAGTGAATGATATGAAACAAAGAAAAGAAAATGAGTAGCCAGTAGTCCTCTAGAGAAGGCTTTTAATTTGCAGCAACGAGAAGATATGGATGGTGAAATAGTAAGGAAATTTTTTTCAGCGGGACTTCCTTTCAACCTTGCAAGGAATCCTCATTATAAAAATGCATTCATTTTTGCATGTAACAACAACCTCGCAAGATATGTTCCACCTGCTACAATGCATTAAGATCGAAATTATTGGAAAGAGAAAGAGCATATATTGAGACATTGCTTGAACCAATAAAAGGAGTGTGGAAAAAAAGGTGTTAGTTTGGTGTGTGATGGTTGGATAGATCCTAAAAGAAGATCCCTTATTAATTTCATGGTCGTTACAGAGAATTATCAAATATTTATTAAAGTAGTGAATTGTGAAGGAGAATACAAGGATAAACATTTTATTGCCAATTTGATTAAAAAGGTGATAGTTATGATTGGGCCTTCAAATGTTGTGCAGGTTATTACAGATAATGCACCGGTGTATAGAGCTGCAAGATTATTGGTGGAGCAAACTTATCCCCATATATTTTGAACATCCTGTGTTGTGCACACTTCAAATCTTGCTCTAAAAAATATTTATGCAGCAAAGAATACATAGGCTAATGAAATCATCTATGCTGAATGTCATTGAATAACAGTGGTTGCAAATGATGTTATTCTGATCAGAAATTTTATTATGAACTATTCGATGAGATTTTCAATGTTTAATGATTTCTCCTACTTGAAAATATTAGCTGTTGCTGAAACTCGTTTTGCATCTATAATAATCATGTTGAGAATATTCAAACAAATAAAAAATGCTCTTCAATCTATGATGATTAGCGAGAAGTGGTCTTGCTATCGAGAATATGATGTTGGGAAGGCAATATATGTTAAAGAAAATATCTTAGATGATTTGTGGTGGGATAATGTACACTACATTTTAGCTTTCACTGATCTAATTTATGATATGTTGAGAGAGGCTGACACAGATAAATCATGCCTACATTTGATTTATGAGATGTGGGACTCTATATTAGCAAAAGTGAAAGAAATTATATACAGACATGAAAGAAAGTCACATGATGAAGACTCAAGACACGGGGATTTAGTTTATGTGCATACAAATCTTCGTCTTCTATCAAGACAAACCCCGCTTTATATGACAGGTGATAACAGGATGTGGGATATTGCTGGAGATGGGTTCGAGTGCCTTGATGATATAGGATTATTGGAAGTTGCAAATCTTTCTCTAAATGAATCAGAGTTGGAAGCATTGATATTCAATGATGATGATATTGAAGGCCAAAGACCAACATCTGAATCTATTTCTATCATTCCCTCTATTAAGTAGTTGGACCTTCATGTTGTATTACATAATTTTTTGCTTATATTTTTGTAGTTGTATTAGACATTTTGTATTAAACATCTTTATGTTATAAGCTAAACAAGTTATCATGAAATTGATTTATTATTGATTGTCATTTTTACTATAATGTCACCGTAATTTCTATATATTATATTAAAAAATTATTATGTCGTGTCCACGCCGCACAGGTCTCCTATATTTTTAAAAATTGTCGTGTCTCGTGTCTCGTGTCCGTGTCGCCGTGTTCGTGCATCCTAGGTTATAATCTTGTATGATTTTTAATGGTCTTATTTTTGACATTTTATTATCATACTTTAGTATCTGTCTTACTTTGATATTAGTATATTACTTATTATTTTATATTTTTTTATTAATGTATAGTTTAATTATGAGGCTTATGTCTCAAAAATGCCTTGAGGCTTACACCTCGCCTCAAAGGAAGAAAATGTCTCAATTCCTCATTGCACAATTTTAAACCTTACAAATAAGATGCTTGAGCGAAAAGACAAATATTTTACTTGAATGTCTAATTCCTTATCTTGCATTATATACTTAGATGCAATCACTTGTTGGACATAATTACATAAGCCATGGATTTGAACAAGTGAAACAACCAATTTGCAAAGCAGGAATAAGATTACTTATATCTACCCCTTTCAGCCCTTCTATATCATGTAATGATGAGAACTGCATACGTTTTGATTCTCATAAAGGCAAAAAATAAGAAATTGATCTCAAAAGTTCAAATCATAACCCCCAAAATCAAATACGCTTATATGGCCAACAACAGACACAAATCCATTCACGCATTTCATCAAACAAATGGAAAGCATTCTACGATTCCAAACTTCCAGGACGGAAAAGTAAAATAATAGACAAAAGAAGAAAATCTAGGTTCTTTCCCTTCTTACTCTGCATCCGCCGCTTCCTCCTGCTCAACCTCATTCTGGAATTGGCGATTTCCCCTGAGACTGGAGCGGAAGGTTGAGGATCGAAGAGGGGAGAGGCTCTTCGGTCTTGGGAGCATTGCGGGAGGGAACAGGAATGGCGATGAAGGTTTTAGTCTTGCTGATAGGGCGAGACTGCTCGAGCTGGACGAAATCCCCGACCTTGAACTTGTTATCGGGGTCATGAGCCTGATACTTCTTCTTCTTGCGGACACGGCGCTTGTACTTGGGGTGAGGCGCAAGGCGAATGACTTCCACGGCCACGGTCTTGTCACTGGTGGCGCACACCACCCTACCCTGGAGCTTCTTCATGGCCTGAATGGAGAGAGAGGAGGGAGCTGGAGGAGGAGAGGGGAAAGAGGTGATGTGGAGTTTGCGAAGAAGAGGAGTGGAGCCATTGAGGAAATTTGAAGGGTTGGTTGTGAGAGAGTAAGGGGCTTTCAGGAATGAGCCGGAGGAGAGCAGCATGGCTGCGGACAGGGAAATAGAGATAAGGAGTGTGTAGGAGATATATCACTAATCAGTACTATGCGCTGCGTTGTAAAAATAATGGATAGAAAATGCTATGCTAAAAAAAAAAAATTCACGACATTTTTTTATTAAATAGGAGAGAGCAATTCTGCCGAACCTGAATTTATTGCTTTCGAAATTTTAACTATCAATGATCAGATTTTAAATTTAAGTCTTTTATATATATATATATAATTGATTTAAATATCCTGAAAAAAAATAATTAGTTGTTATTTATCAATTTCTTAGAATTTTTTTATTATTTTTTCAATTTTTTTTAAGATTTTGTAAAAATCAGTAAGAAAATTTCCTCAAACAAAGCATTAATTAGAATTAGGTTTCCTACTGATCCATTTTTTATCAACTTTTCGAGCATTCCTTGCTATAATTTTTTGTTAATTATTTTTTGTCATTTTTCAAAATAATCTATACTAAAAAATTACTATATAAATCCGTAAAAAAAAATTTCAAATGAAGTGTTAGGCTTTGTTTGGAACGACTTTCTTACTGCTTTCTAAGACAGCATTCTAGTACAAAAATTTATAGAACTAAAAAATTGTTTTAAAAAGTAATAAAAAATAGTCCCAACTTTAATTAGGATTGAGTTAATAATCTCCTATTCAATTGAAATAAAATCCATAATAACTTATATCGGTAAGAAAGTTCATGAAGATCATAAAACTACAATATTTTGTGAATCCAGATTTCTGCACCAAAGAGCTTTGGCATTTCCAACTTAATCAAGTGAAAATGATTTGAGCAAAGAGCATTATTCAAAGCTTTCAATGCAAAAGGATTACCATTAACAGGGTATGTGTTTTCGTGTAGCTGGGGATCTTTCTGGCAGCTCGCTTAGCCATCTTGACATACAAATTATGAAGAAATATGCCAATAGAATTGACTTTGTTCATCTTGATTTTTTGAGACTGTTTGTCCTCCAACTGTTTGATGTTTTGCCCAAGTGACATCAGCGATCCACATGAGGTGGGCAAATGCTTAGTCATGTTTTTAGATGATATGCTTATGACAATAGAGATGGCGGCCATTCCTCCCCTAGCTAGTGCTTGTAGGAAACATTAAAGTTTGGTTTGAGATCATTTTCTTACTGTTTCTTAAAGTAGTTTTTTAGCACAAAAATTTTAATTTTTATATTAAAAAGCTGTTTTAAGAAGCAGTAAGAAATTTGTCCCAAATAAAATCAAAGTCTGTTAGTTTACAAGCTCAAAAAAGCAAACCTATTAGTTTAAAAAATAGTAAGTCTTTCTTTATATAAAAGCAAATTAAAACTAAATCTTGAAGATACACAAGGAAAACGAGTAAAGTAAGGTCACCATCATGTTTTAGAGTTAAATTATTTTTAAAATAAAATTTAAGATCCTATTATTAATAAATCAAATTATGATTTTAATATAAAGAGTCTAAATATACTTAATAAAAAATAATTTTTTAAATAAAATAGTTTTCGGACTTAATGGGCCTCCTATAATATTTGTGGATCGTCATAAAGCCTTTGCAGGCCTTTGCAAAACAGTTTATGGGCCACTAAAAATTTTGTGAGTCTCTATAAATATCAAATTTAAGAATTTTTGTACTACAGTTTCAAATTAATTTGAGCCTGATGACATCACTCAGTTTTTTAGTATTAGAATGATTTTATTATTTGGATATTATATTTTTAATTAATTTTCCAAGTAAGATGAAGCCGTATATTTGACTTTTAAATAGATATATCTAATTTTCGATCAACAATTTTTATAATTTTAAGCTCCCTCTCCAAAAATACTAATTTTCTTGAGAAACTCGCTACCTCATCTCCCTGTGAAATTTTTTGTAGAGTTTTCTCTCATTGGAATAATGATGAAATCAAGTGAAAAGCTTATTTTGAGTTTGTCCCTCAACGTTTGATGGATGTTTTGCTTAATTTCTTCACACTGTCAAACACTTTATACAAGAACTTAAAAATCATTGTAAGCTGTGGTTTCTATTATTTTTTTTTTATATTTACTTGAAATGTTCTAGTTGGGCATACTTTTGGATATTATCTTTATGTAGGAAGGCATGCTATATTTGTTTGTAAAAGCTTATATAATTTATATTTGTTGCACTATTTACTTATTTTATGGTTAGATTATTATTTATGCTTGTAGAAAACTCAGAGCAGATAGCAAAGATAGGAGCAAGACATAGGAAGATAAATAGGGAAGCACTGATTCATTTCAGTAAATGTTGCTAACTCAAAATACATACCTCTTACTGTAGCTATGTATATGCATAGAGAGGTGTGTGCGTGGGCTTTACAGGTGTTGAGCTATCATTGGCTAGGTTTGTTGAGGTAGTTATGAATGTAGTGCTCCGTTAACTCCTCCACATGGGCATGCTACGTGATAGTGGAGGCTGATGCTTTTACACCCCCGTAAACTAGCGGTGAGGTCTGAACTGTTAGTTTGTTGCACAATAGGTTGTATCTTGGTGTTGGTAGAGGTTTAGTCAAAATGTCAGCAATTTGATCGAGTGTACTGATAGGTACTATCTTAATTTCATTGGACTGAATGTGGTCGTGAATAAAATGAAAACCAACATCAATGTGTTTGGTCCGAGCATGGAACACCGGATTGTTTGCCAAAGCTATAGGGATGTATTTTCACAATGAATATTTGTGGGTAGTTGTTGTGGAATCTAAAAGTCTGATAGAAGGCGACATATCCATATGATATCAACTGTAGCTGCTTCCAAGGATCTATACTTTGCTTCTGTGGAGAAGCGAGTGACCGTTTGTTGCTTCCTCGCACTCCAGGAGATGAGGTTATCACCCAAAAAATAGTAGTAGCTAGATGTGGAGTGCCTAGTGTCTTGATCGGTAGCCTAGCCAGCATCAGACAAGGTCGTTAATTGGAGAGAGGAGGTGGATATGGGTAGGTCGAAGGATAAGGTACCTTTGAGGTAGCGAAGGAGACGTTTCAATAGGTGAAAATGAGATGGTGTGGGATTTTGCATGTGTTGGCAAAAAGTATTGATGACAAAGGAGATATTGGGGTGGGTAATGGCGAGGTCTTGGAGAGAGCCGGTAAGGTATCTATAAGTTTTATGATCGGAGAGCAGAAGATATGTTGGATGATTAGACGGTGGTTTGGTAGTAGATGGATTGACTAATGGGTTGCATTTGTCTAGTCCAGCATGTTGTAGGTTGGTGAGAACATGATTGGATTGAGAAAGGTGAAGATGATTGTTGTGGGAGATAACCTGTATTCCAAGGAAGGTGGTGGGTGGACTCAGATTCTTAATAGAGAAATGACTGCTAAGAGATGAACTTGTGTTGAGAAGAAAAGGAGAGTTATTGCCTGTTAGCAGGATATCATCCACATAGATCAGAAGATATGCTTGAATAGAATTTTGATGAAGTATGAAGAGGGAGGGGTCGGACATGCTGTTTTGAAAGTCAAGGGATAGAAGATGAGCTAGGAATGTTTAGAACCATATATATGGTGCTTGTTTTAGTCCATAAAGGGACTTTTGGAGTAGGCATACATGGTTAAAATAGTTATGGTCTTCAAAACCATGGGGTTGATGCATATGGATGGTGTCATTAAGAGAGCCATGGAGAAAGGCATTTGTGACATCAAGTTGGTAGAGAGGCCATTGGTAGGTAACTTAAATTGTGAGAAGCACACAGATGGAGGGAAATTTTGCAACGGGACTGAAGGTTTCTCGGTAGTTGAGATCATAATCTTTGTGATTGCCTTGGGCTACTAGACGAGCCTTGTACCATGTTATGGATCCATTAGTGTTTCACTTGGTCTTGAATGTCCAACAACATCTAAGAATTGGTTGGTTTTTGGGTGGAGGAACTAGGATCCTCATTCCTTGGTTTTGGAGAGCAAGAAAGTCGGATGCCATAGTGGATCTCCAATGTGGATGTTTAGAGGCTTTGGTATAAGTGGTAGGATCGAATGAGATAGATGAGTGGAGGTCAAGAATCTGGCTAGGTCTTAGGGAGCTAGTTTGAGGCCGGGTAGTCATCAGGTGAGTATGTGGTAGAGGAGCTGGAGAAGGTTGGTTTCGAACTGATGTGCATTCAGATACAGAGGAGGAAATTAGCTGTTCTGGAGAAGCTGTAGTAGGTGGTTGAGATGGTTGTGTGCAGTTGGGTGGCTTATAGGTGGGACGATAAAGAGATGTGGGAAGAAGGAGATGTGGATTTTTTGGAAGATTGGATTTTTATGTGGCTGTGGTGGGAATGATATTAGAATAGGAGAAACTGTGATTCATCAAACGTGACGTGCCAAGAAATATGGAGTTTTTTTGTGTTTGGATCTAAGCACTTGTATCCTTTATAGGATGGAGCGTAACCAGTGAAGATGCATAGAGGAGCTTTTGGAGAGAGTTTATGTCTAGCTGGAGGCGGTAGTAGCGGGTAGCAGGCACAACCATAAAATTTGAGATGAGCATATTTTGGGGCTTTGTTGAAGAGAAGCTGGTAAGGAGATTTGTTGGAGGTGGTGTTGGAAGGTAGCAAGTTTATGAGATAAACTGTGGTTAGGATGGTATCCAACCACAGATGCTAGGGAAGGTGAGTTGTGTGGAGGAGAGTTCTTATGGTCTAGAGAATGTGACGATGCTTTCGTTCGGCGAGACTGTTCTGTTCTGGGGTATAGAGACAACTGATTTGATGCAAGATGACATGGGTCTAGAGATAGTTTTGCATATTATGGTTTAGATATTCGATACCCCCGTCGCTAAGGGAAAATTGAGTTTCGATGGCAGCATAAAATTTTACTAAAGTGGAGAATACATCATATTTATGCATTGGCGGATATACCCATGTAAAGTGAGAAGTATCATCTATGAATGAAATATAATATTTAAAACCTTGTGTGGAGGGAAAAGGAGAAGGACCTCATACATCTGTGTACCATTTCCAATGGTTTGCATATGTGGTTGATAGATCTAGAGAAAGATAGTTTATAACCTTTTGAGGTCTTACATGAGGAGCAAATAA